GTGATGGGGACTGCGGAGCAGGGAAGGTCTGCTGCAACGGACAGTGCAAAGATGGAGACTGTTGTCCTGGAACCCCAGGCTGCTGCAACTGTAGGAAATGCCCAGCCGGCACTCAATGCTGCGGCACAGAATGCAAGGCTTGCTGCTCAGACAGCCATTGCCCAAAATCGAAGAAGTGCTGCGGTGGAGTGTGTAAGGACTGCTGCGTAGACAACGATTGCTGCGCAGTCGGCCTCAACAAGTGCTGCGGTGGTTTGTGTCGCCAGAATTGCTGCGCCCATAGTGATTGCGGCAGAGGGAAGTGCTGTGTGGGAATGTGCAAACCACAGTGCGGTGGCTGCAGGCCAGGGTGGTTTCACGGGGGATGCAACTAGATTGTGCACAGCACGAAAGCCCGAATGCCAGGAATGAATTTGAGGAGATGCAAAAGCTTTGCTTTTTCTCAAGGTTGGACAGTAGTCCTGAGGACCTAGGATCCTTGATGATTGTCACTCCTGGTGAGGCAGCCGAAACTTGCATGTCAGGCCATCTGCAGCTCAAGGCGCTTTGCGCCTTGTCTTCTGTTATTTGTCGGCTCTTTTAATAATTTTTCCAATCTGATTATGAGCCAATTAATGCCCAGGAATCAATTCTTTACCATTTGCATCTTCTTCTTCTTTCTGTTTCTTCTTCTTCTTCTTCTTCTTCTTCTTCTTCTTCTTCTTCTTCTTCTTCTTCTTCTTCTTCGTCGTCGTCGTCGTCGTCGTCGTCGTCGTCGTCGTCGTCGTCGTCATCGTCTTCATCGCCGTCATCGTCGTCGTCATCGTCTTCTTCTTCTTCAGGACTTCATTACCAAGACACATAAGCTCTGCGTTTGAATGAAGCCAATTATGCAGTTGCTGGGCATGGCACGCAGGCAAAATCTGAGATAGGTGGTGGGTAATAGGAGATCTCCATATGGGAAGCTGCCAATGGATGGTGCTGAAGTTGAAGATAAGCATTTTTTAGATTTAAGGATCTACATGCAATCGTAATGTCAGGTATATATCTGAGCGTATGTATGGTAAAATTTGGTCCAAAAAGTACGAATGTCATGAATTCAGCTTTATGCATTTCCGTTGTGCCTATAGATGTTGCAGCAACATTATCGACTAATATCGAGGATTCATATTTAAAGTCAGTGTGTTATCTGATTCTTATTCCTCTCATTATAAAAGATCATGCCAATAACATGGCATTTTTGCTAGTACCACCCACCATAGAACAGTCTAAGAGTATAGTGGTGCAGTTCTTGTTACTCTAGCATGAGGCTAAGCTATACATTTAGTCATTTAGCAGGTCGTAATAAGCCTTGAGGACCAAGCCACCTACGTGAGTTTCATATTAATTCGTTGTGCTGACATAAATTCATTACGGAAGGACTGCGGATGAAAAAGGATGTATGTTTTCTTGCTTACAAGCCTTCTGTTTGCGAAAAACGAGCTCTTTTCTGAATGTCTCTGTTCCATAATCTATTGCACAAGGTATGTGTACGTTCACTTGGCTGTCGGTAAGCAAGTAGACCTCTATTTCTCCATGTTCTAGAGTATGTCAGTTGATGTGTGTTCATATCCATGTGTGCACTCAAGTTGTGTGTGTGTGTGTCTATGCATGGGTGAAAATTTTTCGTTGTCATGCCCGCTATGTGTGTCTATGTGTGCCTGTGTGATCAACTGTTTGAGGGTCTGCGTCAATCAACTTTGTGTGTGTCTGTGTGTGTGTGTTTTATATGAGAACAGGATGCTAATCGCAGTGAGTTATGCCTGAAAGAGCGATCAAAAGTCACACCGTCAGAAGGCTGAGTTATCCACCTCGTATGGAGAAGGCTCATACGTCCCAAACACAAAAGCAACAGATGTCCATGCATCGAAGGCATTGCCACAAGACCACAAAAGGAAAGCAAAAAACTATCACAACCAGCAGCAGCGCAGGGCAGTGAGGGGAAAAAAACAACATAAGACATTAGACAAGGCACAGAACAACGTGCAGCAGTGAAAGTTTGATGATAGAGCAAAGGGGAGGCAGGTAGGCACATAAAGACACGAGGTAACAACGCATGGCAAAAGGCAAGGGCTGAAGGGCACGGGGAAGGCAGGTAGGCAGACTGCACACTAGCAGACAAAGCAGACGCACCAAAAAAAGTCCCGGAACAAGCAAAGACTGAAAAAA